ACAAAGTTGTAGCTCAAGCATTCTACATTAGAGCCATACTGGGAATAACATAACGTGTTCACACTGGCTTGGTTTTTCTTACCTCTTGGCGAAATCTTTCACCTATGAATAAATCTTTTAAGTTCATCCCATCATAGTTAAGCACAAGTTGAGGGCCCATGCCTTTGCCCTTGACTGTGAGGGGTAACGCTGATTTACATCCTAAGAAAGAAAACATCACACAGATTTTATGCATGTGACGGTGAAGTTTAAAAGTTGCCTCTGTGTTTCTGTGATTTTGCTCTATTTTTTAACAATGTAAACATGACTAAAATGGGCAAAAAGTACTGATTAAACTGATAACATTATGAATTATCTTTTGCTGCTGTATGTGTGTGTGTTTGAGAAACCGGAATAAACCTGTGACATCGCAGTATATGGTTTGTTGATAAAGTCTGGCCTCCTCAGGCTTGAAGATGATGGTGAACTTCGCTGTGGTGCTGGGCCATATTTCCCCCTCCTGAAACACGTAAAGACAACAATAATTATTTTAGTGAAACAAAATGCAAACATTACAAAAACGTAAGAAGAAGAAAACGACTGATTTTTTGGTCAGGCTTTACTCTACACATACACACACACGCAGGTGACCTCCCTAACTCTGTGCTGTCTATCTCTTTGTCCAGGGAATGGGGCTGAGTTGGGGACAGAAGACAGAGCAGCTCATACTTTCTAAAGGTCTCTGGACAGAAAGGCCCTAATCTGTGGTTCTAATGTCACAGAAGAATCAGACAGACGTTATATGCAAACAGTCTTGATCACAAAGTCTGTGTGACAGTTTTAACATCAGATCTGATCAACCTTTTCAGAATTCTGTTCTCACAGCAATAATACAGCTCTGAGGGTAGAGCATGCTGCAAGAAATGATTCACGGAAACATCAACAAATTTCAAGTGCTGTTGCTCCTGTTCCTTCTCCCCACTTAAAACTATTACATTATGCAGACGTACTATAGGAGGCACTGTTGCCTCTAGAGTTGATGGAAAAGAAACAATGGGCAATGTAATGACATTTAAGTATTCAACTAATCAGTCTGGCAAGAGGAAAATCATGTGAACACACGACAAGACAATGAAACACAAACACACCGGAGGCTCCACAGTTATACAGTGTGAAAGGGCCAAGAGGCAGTCGTTTGCATCCTGACTTCTGTGTTCCTGTGGGGCTCTGGACTGCAGTGGGAGGTAATGGATCCCTGCAGGGTCAGACTTAAGCAACTGTCCTAGCTCGACTTCTTCCTTCTGCTGGAGCACTGAGCCCTCCCTAGAGACAAGTAGGGAGAGACAGTGAAAAGTATAACAAATAGCAAATGAGGAGGGTCAGAGAGAAAAAGAGGCCAGTAGAAGGACAAAGATATACAAGACAGAAAGAATGTGATGGGTACCTGAGCTCATTTCTGGCAACACATGCTCTAATAAATACATTTTGTGCTCATGCATAAATACCTCAGTAAGCTCAGGTCCTCTTCTTGTTGGCTGGGCCACACAGTCCAGCAGTACTGAAGAGGGATGCTACTGTGGTTGGTGAGGGACACTGTGCGTGTACTGATCAGGGAGACATAAGTATTCTCCATCCAGATGGAGTCAGGTTCAAGGTGGATGTTCAGTTCCTCACAAGATCCATGCAGGCTAATGTACACATCTTCACCTGAGTAGAAGATATCATGGTGCTTATGACCTAGTAACTGGTTACCACAGGGTAACATAAGTGGTGGAGAATAGGTATCAAGAGACCTTTTTTGTCTATTTTTGTTTTGATTAGTCATTTGTAAAAATATGGAGGAATACTGTCGGGATTTAAGTGAAATTTAACAGGGTTACTCTTGTCTAATTGAAAGACAACAGGAGATTCCTAAATACCAGATTCTGGCAGTATACCAAAGTCACTAAGATGTAACATGTACTATGAGAAGAAATCAGGGAGAAGAGAAAACAACCCCTCTGATCTAGCCATACCAAGCAGGAAATGTGATATAATACAGCCATTATGAGCTGAATTTTCATTCCCTAAAGACTGGCTATATTCTCTTTCATCACCTACAGTATGTCACCTTTACTTCACTGGCCCCCTAACCAACAAACACATACGCACCGCTCTCGCAAGCCCCTTATCAGTGTGTATTTATCTGTTACATCTTGAAGAGTCTTCAACACAAGTCTCATTGGTGTCACAGTTTTGTTTTCTCACCAGTATGGTAGTGCAGCAACAGATCCTGCCTGTGGTTTCCTGTGTTCATTGGGTGGAAAACCACAGTGACCTGCATACTCTCGCCAACATCAAGTGCCCCAAACTCAGGTGTCACTGAAAAAGGCCTGCAATAATAGGTTACTGTTTTAGAAACTGACAGAGGAAAAGCAAACTTTTAACTAGACCCAACAATAAGTACTGTAAAGTCTAGTTAAAGGTATACCCAAGACTCCATTGTGTAATTTTTGATAAGTAGGTAAAAAATGTTTTCTGTTCACTTATGATTCTGAATTTTTTTCTCAAATGTATTTAACAGTTTTCACAAGCTGAACTTTAAAAATAACTATTCACTGGGTACAAGAATGACAGTTTTACTCTCACCTCTCTGTGTGGAGCCTGAATTTGGCTTTGCTGTTTCCTACATTACAAACAAGTTGAGTCTTCTCAGTTGAAGCTTTCACAGGACACACGGGCAAGTCAAGCTTGTCTCGAAAGTCAAGAATGGCACGTGGCCCAATGGCCCGGATTGGAATCTCAAACTTTTCCCTCTCTGTCACACAAACCAGTCTATGGTGGTAGTCCTGTGTAGACAAGGAGAAAAGCCTGTTGCAACCACACAAACTCTATAAACTCAATATACTTTATTATATCAGTTGTTAAATAATTTTGTGCCACTGAATTTGGGCATACAAGCAGTTCAATTTTATCCAGTTCGATTCTTACACTGAATTTTTATAGCACCAATTCACAACAACAGTCACCTCAAGGCAGCAAAGACCCTACAGTAATATAGAGAAATCCCCATCAGCAAGCACTTTGTGACAGTGGGGAGGAAAAATTCCCTTCTAACAGGAAGAAACCACAGACACAATGAGGCTCAGGAAGTGGCAGCCATCTGACGCTGCAGGTTTGGGGTGAGAGAAACAAGCTGTTTATTCCATTAGCTGCTCAGTTATTCAAATGTAAATAACAAACAAACCAAAAATATCATACTTGAGTCCTAACCCTTAAAACAATAAAAAAAAAA